CTATGTCTACCTTGGGAAATGTCATTTCTTCTTCACCTAAAACTGTGTACTTCAGTCATTAACGCTTTTGTCTCTCACCTCTGTGACATTCTCGGTACACACAGTTCTAGACATAGTCTCTTCTAGGAAATCTGTGTCACACAAGACTTCCTGGACAATGTGGGAGACACTAGTCCATTTTCTCTTCATTTTTTTAGACACAGATTTTTACATAGTCCAGGCTAGCTTCACAATTGCTGTCTTCCTGTCTCAACATCCTGAGTAGCCACTGGACCTGGCTGGCACTGATTTGTTGACTTTCCTCTAAGTTTCTGGAGAACAGAGTCCATGTTCTTCCTGGACTCTGCCTGACACACTGTATGACATACAGTAAATGACGACTACTTGATTCTAATGAGTGAGTAAAACACCCTAAATACAATAGTTTGCATGCATTTTAAATTTTTCAGAAATTCTTGAAACTTTGATGAGCAGAAATCCACCCATTTGCTCAGCTGGCTTCTAGATTACACATAATCCTGGGCAGGACACAGCAATTAGGAATCATCTGAAGAACATTTCTTGGATAATTTCTTCCTAAGTCCTTCTTGTCCATAAGCTCATCCCAAGATGAAGGAGTCCTATACACACACAGCTTGTATACACATACAACTCAACTTCTAAATGCCGATGAGAAAACAGATTTGACCTCCCAGTCTAACAAAAACAACACTCTACAGAGTTCATCCACAAACCCACATATGCTCATAGATGCACTCCAGTTTTACTAATGAGATGGATTCCCTTTCCCCCAAGACAATAGCTAAATCCAATAACAGTAGAAGCCACAATGTAACCCCTGAATTATTTCTCCCCAAACAACATTTCTTCTCCATACTCTGTTAAGTGCCGGTGCTACAGCAGAACCTCTCTTCACCTGAGGCAGACATTGTCTATTGATTCATCGGAGATACGTACAGATAAAAGCAGCCAAGAATGCAATGGCCAACAGCAGGAAAAGTGCCATCAGTGATGTGAAGAGCAGCGAGGGGCGGCCAGGCTTACTTAGATGAGGGGTGGGCTTCACTTTGGGAGCTGGAAGGAAAGCACATTCATCTCATGAGTGATAAGTTTCCCCCTTGTTTCTGCTTTTCCTCAGTCCCCGTCTCACTATTCTCCATGTCCCATAATTACTAATAATGTGAACATTTGAAATAACATAAAAATAAGGTCCATTGTAAAAAACATTACAAAATACCTAAAAGTACACACACTGTTGAAATAAATGGTATTAATATTTTGAGATCTGAAAAATAATTTGAATATATATATCCTCAAAAACACTTTGATCATATCCTTTCAGGAAGTTCTTTTTTTGGTGGTCGAGGTGTAATGGGCTACGGACTCATTATGTAGACCAGGCTGATCTGCAGCTCATTATGTAGAGCAGGCTGGCCTCAAATCCTCGATGATCCTCCTGCCTCTGCCTCCGGAGTGCTGGAATAACACCACACTGGCCCTTTCGGCAAATTTTAAAGGATGTACATATAATATATTTTCCCACATGAGCACACAGCCTAAGTACTGCCATCTGCTGTGGCTTTCCTTTTACACTGTCTTGTAGGTACATTTTCACATCACCATGTTTTCTTGGTGTTCTTTACTGTGGTAGCAGCACTATATAATCTAATACCTTCCAGACTGTCCGAACATTAAAGACGCATATGCAATAAAAGGTATATATTTCTAATCATTTTCCATATCTTTAGCATATGGTCAGTCTGTTAGTCACTGACTCATGACTGGAAACCATTTGCTAGATGAAGATAAAATGTAGTGGAGAGCAACTGCCTACAGAGGGAGAGGCTCTGCTTTGATCTATAGTATAAAAGAAAAAGTTTCTTCAAGATAAGAAGAAACACAGAAACAGTTTTCATAAAGTTACAATATACTGTCAAAATAGAGGGGGAAAGCTCAATAGTGAAAAGTATGATTT